TCTATAGAAATTAAAACTATTTTAATTTTTATTGTGATATTAATAGTAATTTATTTATTGCATTTAAATTACTTGTATTAATGATTTATTTTGCACTTGTTATATTTTTTTTTTTACAGTGGATTGTTGTAGTTCTCGCTGCACGACGGCTGTTGAATCCACCCAACCGTTGCAATGACCAAATCCATTTGACCCCCAGAGACGAGTTCAGGAGGAGGTTCCTACTGATGTGGTTCTAGAGACTTCGACTTCAAATGCTAATATACAGGCCGAGTCTCCCAGTGATAAGGATACACCTGTGGCTACCCCCCTATAGAGACAAGGACGAACGCAAGCTAAGCTTGTGTAGATGCCTACAAATGGGACAAAAATCCCATTAGAGTTAGATGAGTATGGTGGTTTGCCACAATAGGTCAGACAATAGATTGTGGTCCAATTGTAGGAGAATCTCCCAGATGTTTACATATCGTGGGGATAGGTCCTTCGTGAGCATCGGGACATGTATTGGAATATATTCAGTGTACCCCCTAAACACTTAATTTCTATCTACAAATTAGATATTTTCAATTTCTATCTTCAAATTTTAAGTAATTTGAATTTTTTTTTTGTTATTAAATTATTTATTTATTTATATTTCTATTATTTTCAACAAACATATGAATGGGATCCTACTATTGATAAGATTGTAAATGATTTATGGAATGTGACAGCAAGGATCAAGTTCAAGCATGCACTTAATGAGTTGAAAGCTAAGTGTGCAAAGAGAAACTTTCAAGTTAAGCCTCTAGATATGAATCCAGAGTTATGGGTGAGGCTTGTTCATTTATGGACTGAGGTAATGGAATAAATTCATGTTTTTATTATTATTTATTTTGAATTTTCAATTGTGATGTGTGATGTTTTTATCATATTATTAATTAAGAAAATATATGTGTTCACCACCTTTACAAGACGAGGGTCATTTGAGAGGGTCAAGCTCTACAAGGGCTAATCGAGCAAAAGGACCGAGGGTGACGCATACCAATAGTTCAATGGACGTTAATGTTTATAGAAAGAAAATGGTATAAAAGTTAACATATTTTTAATGAATAATTAATGA